CCCCCCCCCCCCCCCCCGCCCAACATGACGAGTCTGAGATGATTTCTCCCTTCTTCCGAACTCCGTAAGTGCTTGTCTGGCATTCCACTTAATACTTACCCCAGATGGCCTTGGAATTTAATTCTCTTTCAAGTTCCTCTATTTTCCCCAGACTCCATGCTCTGGGATGCCTGTGCTTCTGCCTTCTGTGTGCACACTTCTCACAGCATCTTGCCTGGCACAGAACTGACTCTGATCAAAGAGAGCTCTCTACATCCCTTTCATTGGTGAGTGACAAGATTCACTCTGAGCCTTTTTAAAAAAAATTTTTTTTTAACGTTTTATTTATTTCTGAGAGAGAAAACGTGAGAGATGGAGGGTCAGTGAGAGAGGGAGACACAGAATCTGAAACAGGCTCCAGGCTCTGAGCTAGCTGCCAGCACAGAGCCTGACACGGGGCTTGAACCCACAAACCGTGAGATCATGACCTGAGCCGAAGTCGGCCGCCCAACCGACTGAGCCACCCAGGCGCACCCACTCTGGGCCTTTTATACTTTTTCTTTTTTTTTCTTCCCCAAGCACCACCTTCCCCTTTCCTTCTCTGCATCAATGTTAGTGGGGAGACAGCGATCACGCGTGAGTTAAGATCAGATCGTTGGAAGCTGGGAAATAAGAGAGACTGAGACCCAGCTATGCGAATTCTTTCCTTGTTTTCCCACTCCAGACGTTATCGTAAACTATAGGCCCATTTTGTTTGGCCTGCACAGTGTTTTCCAAAACTGGGTCAGTCACCGGGGCATCTGGGTGGCTCAGTCGGTTAAGTGGTTAAGTGTCTGACTTCGGCTCAGGTCAAGATCTCGCAGTTCGTGGGTTCAAGTCCCATGTTTGGCTCTGTGCTGACAGCTTGGAGCCCAGAAGCTGCTTTGGATTGTGTCTCTCTCTGTCCCTCCCTGGCTCACGCTCTGTCTCTCTCTCTCTCTCTTTTTTTTAAAATATTTTTATTTATTTCTAGGAGAGAGAGAGACAGCGTGAGCAGGGGAGGGTCAGAGAGAGAGGGAGACACAGACTGAAACAGGCTCCAGGCTCTGAGCTGGCAGTCAGCACAGAGCCCGACGCGGGGCTTGAACCCACAAACCGCGAGATCATGACCTAAGCGAAAGTCGGACGCTTAACCGACTAAGCCACCCAGGTGCCCCTCTCTCTCTCTCAAAAATAAGTAAATAAACATTAAAAAAATTTGGGCCGGTCACTAACATTTTTTTAAATGGGAAGATTTTGACTAAATATATTAATTTCTGGCTTCTCTTGAAAATTATTAAGATTTTGTGTTTCCTTTTTTTTTTTATTTCTAGGAGAGAGAGAGGGAGAGACAGCGTGAGCAGGGGAGGGTCAGAGAGAGGGAGATACAGACTCTGAAATAGGCTCCAGGCTCTGAGCTGGCAGTCAGCACAGAGCCTGACGCAGGGCTCGAACCCACGAACCGCGAGATCATGACCTAAGCGAAAGCTGGACACTTAACCGACTAAGCCACCCAGGCGCCCCGGGATTTTGTGTTTCCTGATGGCTATCACAAGAGAGTGAGGCACAGCTGTCTCTGGAGAGAGCCATGGCCCTCCAGCTCCTAGGCCTCACTTTCTTCCTGCCTGACCCCTGTAATAATCATCATTATAATAACAATAGCAGGAAACACCTGTAGAGGCTTTATATGTCCCAGGAGCAACCGGATTCACTTACGCATCATACAATTCCCACCACACCCCTTTGAGGCACATACTCTGTTCTTAACCCTATTTTATAGAGGTCAGTAATACCCAGAGAAGTTCAGCAACTTGCCCAAAATCAAGGTCAGACTTCAACCCCGGCATAGTCTGATTTCAAAGTCCCCACCTGTGACCACACTGAAGCCCGGGATTCCTGGCCCACACGGTACACCTACTTTCTTAAGCTCAACAACCCAAGGAGACTCCCAGCCATGTAACCAATATAACTGTAACCAGAAGGTGAGCTCATCTCCTCTGATGGCTCATTAAAAGAGCAGATTTAAAGCTTACGTTAGGAAAGGGAATGAAGATGTGAAGAATCAAGTCGGCTAGGACTACGCTTTCCAGGAATATTTCTTACATGGAATTAACTAAGAGAAGAAAAGAAACATTAAAGTTTCTCATTCCAAAAGCGGATCCTAGTGGAAAATGCAAATAAGCATTAACAGCTACAACAGCAGGGGGCGCCTGGGTGGCTCAGTCACCGGGTAAAGCGGCTGAATTCAGCTCAGGTCATGATCCCAGGGATGGTGAGTTTGAGCCCCACGTCAGGCTCTGTGCTGACAGCTCAGAGTCTGGAACCTGCTTTGGATTCTGTGTCTCCCTCTCTCTTTCTCTCTCTCTCTCTGCCCCTCCCCCACTCAACTTCTGTCTCTTTCTCTCTCTCAAAAATAAACACTTTAAAAATTAAAAAAAAAATAAAAACAACAAGTATCTACAACAGGATTTTGTAAGTGAGGTGGATGGGGATGGGGAACCCTGGGGACCTCAGGAATCTTTCAGGGAGTCTTCGAGGTCAAAACTGTTTTCATACTAATATTCAGACATTATCTGCCCTCTTTTATTCTCAGTGAAACCTTCCAAAAGCTACAGGATATCTCTCCAGAGGCCAAATGCAGAAGCAGATATGAGATTCCAAACGGCTCTAAAAAGCCTACAATGTCTACTATTCTCACGAAATCTTTTGTTTTCTGAAATATAGTCTTTAAAATGTCAATTTTATTAATATATAATGAGTTTACTAGCATTACTTTTAAATGAACAAATATTTTTAAAGCTTATTTGACTTTTTAAAAAATTTCTTAATGTTTATTTTTGAGAAGGAGAGAGAGAGAGAGAGCACGAGTGGGGAAAGGGCAGAGACAGAGGGTGACACAGAATCCGAAGCAGGCTCCAGGCTCCCAGCTGTCAGCACAGAGCCTGATGCGGGGCTCGAACTCACAGTCCGTGATAGCCTAACATGAGCCGAAGTTGGATGCTTCCCCGCTCAACTGACTGAGCCACCCAGGCGTCCCTAAGGCTCATTTAACTTCTAATCCAGCAAATATCAGCATATATAATTTACAGACACAAATTCTCGAGTCTTCAATGATTTTTAGGCAATGATTTTGTAAGATCAAAAAGTTGGAGAACGGTGGCTCTAAAAAGGAAAAGACGTCTTGCACGTACACACGTGCCCTCGTGGGTGTGCGTCTGTGCACGTGTGTCTAACACAGAAATGAACCCTGCACCACATATTCCAAACTGGCGGCCAGCCGCCGCCACGGTTTGTAAGTGTTCCACACTGTCTTTGAATGACTATTAAATTCGCTGTCACCATTTAAAGATCAAAAGGTTTCACACAAAGCCAGTGTTCTGGTCGCTTCTCGATAAACAAGCAAACAAACAGACTTCCACTTGGCCGTTTCCACTGACTGGTATCACTCAGATGGGGCCCACGATCTTTGGTTCACCTCTAGGCCTTTACCTGCCTATTTCTTGGAAGTAACTAAATTGCTACCCTGAACCAGAAGGAGGGAAAAAGCATTTCTGCAATCAACAATGAAACATAAATCCATTTAACAAGCGTCTGGCTTCCTCCAGAGATGTCAAAGGCACAACAGATAACCTCCTCCTCATCTGACCTCCCAAAGCAGCAACTTGTAATGGTATCCCTGTGGGTACAGAGGCTCGTGGATGGATCAGAAAGCCTTCTGAGAAAAGAAAGGAATTCATCTGACACAGTAGGTATCTTTGAACCAGGGCAAAGGGAGAAGACTCACCAGGCGAAGGGCAAAGGAGGGACTCTCCAGGAAACAGGAGGGCCCAGTTTAGTGCCCACGGGGAGGGGATTCGGGTGATCGTCACACCCCTGGATATTTCCTCCTGGAACTCTGGGTAGTGAATTCAGGACACTCACCCAACTTCTTTTGCCCTGAAAGCAGGTGATGGAAAAGAAGGGGCATTCAGATCTCCGGTCTCCAAGGAAGCAAGCACGCAGGTGTAAAGTCAGGCAAAGGTGGGCGATTTTTGGAAGAAGGAAGAAAGCAATACTAAACCGGGGAGATCTAGATGGGAAAGGGGGTTTTGCTGTAAGGGAGTTATTTTTGCTTCCTTTCCTTATTTTCTTTCCTAGGGAAGGGGACCTGGGGTTTTGCTGGGAAAAGCCAACTGGGGGAGAACTGGTGACGAAAAGGGATTTTTGCTGGAGAGTGGGGGAAGAGGGCTGGGAAAAAAATATCAGGTGCAAATCTGGGTCCCCTATGTCGGAGGCAAGCGGATGTTTCGCAGGAGGCCTGGAAGCTAAGGCGAGTGCAAGGCCGCCGTGCAGAAAGTGCGGAGATCGGGTAGGGCCGCAGGCGCGAGCTGGGGAGCTGCCGGGGGGGCAGTTGGGGCCTAGGGGGGGCGGGGGAAGAAAGCAGAGGGGTTGCAGGGGGCCGGCGGGCCCCGAGGAGAGTCGTCTCCAAGGGGGAAGGGGCTGCCGGGGTGCAGCGGGGCCAGCGGCTGTTGGGGTGCAGAAGGTGCGTGCGTGATGCGGGGTGAGGGGCTCCCGCCGCGCCTGCTGCGCCCCTCGAAAGCGAGATGGGCCCCCTAAAAAACAAATATATAAACAAATTAGATTTTAAAAGGGGGGAGGGGGTGAAAAGTGAAGAGGGGCAGGAAGGGGGGGGTAGGGAGGAAAGGGAGGGGGCAGGGGCAGCAGCAACCGGGTTTTACCCGCCCCCGGGGGCTCGCGCGCCGGCCTCGCGCCTCGCGGGCCTCCCAGCGGCCCCCTGCTTCCCTCGCGCCGCCCGCCGGCCCGGCGCGCACGCGCAGCCAGGACCGGCCCCGGAGCAGCCCGCTGACCCGCGGCGCCCGGGCCGCTTCACGACGCCCAGGGCCGCCTCGCGCCGCCCGGGCTCTCGGCGCGTGCCCGCGCGGCGGCGAAGTCGCCGCAGGAACGCGGCCTCCGCCGGGAGGCGGGGCCACGCAAGGGGGCGGGGCTGGGCGCGTCAAGTGAGCCGCGGCTGGCGGGAAGGGAGGCGGTTGGTCGCCATTTTGCGAGGAGGGCCGTTGAGGGCGGGAGGGTGTGAAGGCGGAGCCCGGGAAGGGCCGCGGGGGAGGGGCCGGCGACCCCTCCCCTCTCAGTACCCGCATGCAGAGGCCGAGAGCCCTGCGCCCTGGCCATTGTTCCCGGAGGGCGGCGTCAGAACGCAGCGGCAGGGGACCCCGGCTCCCCGGGGCCGCTCCGATCCGAGAGCTTCGGTGTCCCGCGATGCGGGCTCCGAGAGCGGGGCCCGCCCTGCCAGGGTCGCGGGTTCCAGCGAGGCCGCCCCGCGTGTCCCCGAGGCGCGAGATTGGGACGATGCGGGGGTGCCCTTCCTTGTGTTGGCGCCAAGCTGTCCGTGGGTCTGGCTCCGGCTTTCCGTGCTCAGTTGTGTTGAAGGAGGGACGCAAATGGGACCAGAGCGGTGGCCGAGGGTGCTGACTGTTCAAGGAGATTGAATCCCGGAACGACGGAGCCGGGGAGTTAATTCCTTAGAAAGTGAGCACTGGACATATGGAGACAGTAGTTGCGCAGTGCCAGGGGGTGGGAAGGGGGCACGACTGTGCGTCAGTGTGAGGGGGGTCTGATTGGGGTGATGGAAAGATGCTAAATGTGAGTTACAGCGATGGTTGCACAACATGGCGAATTTACTAAAGATCGTTGGATTGAACACTTTTTTAATGTTTTATTTATTTCTGAGATAGAGATTGACAGCGTGAGCAGGGGAGGGTCAGAGAGAGAGGGAGACACCGAATCTGAAACAGCCTCCAGGCTCTGAGCTGTCAGCACAGAGCCCATCGCGGGGCTCGAACCCACAAGCTGTGAGCTCATGGCCTGAGCTGAAGTCGGAGGCTTAACCGACTGAGCCACTCAGGCACCCCTGGATTGAACACTTTTTAAAGCGAGTGACTTCTACGTAAATTACCTCAGTAAAGGTTTGTTGATTTTAGAAATTGGTCCCTGTGGGGTAGACCGAACAGAAGGGAGGAAAGACTAGTATTCTACTTCTGAATTCCTTTATTTAGCAAATATTTATTGAGCTTCTGTTCCGTTGTGAGATACTGGTGTCTGAGTCAGACACACGTCCCCACGGTAGCTTCCCGCCTGCGGTAGCGCTGTCCCAATGAACCAGAATACAGAAATGTGAAATTAACTTTAATAATACAGCTTAGCTCAAAATGTTATTTCAACATGGAATGAAAACAAAAAGTTGAGTAGGGTAGTAGGGACATGAGTTACTTGTTTTGTTTTTTGGACTCTTGAAGTCTGGACATCTCAATCCAGACCAGCCAGATTTCAGGGGTAGCCATAGGTAGCTAGTGGCTCCGGTACCTAACAGCACACTGCCAGTGTGGGACAGGCAAATACATTCAGAATGCACCGTGGTTATACTTTAAGGAAAAAATGAAGGAAAGAAGATAGAAATTGTCAGCAGATACCGTTCAGTACAGATCGGTGAAGGTCTCCCTGATGAACGTAGGCTGAGCAAAGACCGGAAGGAAATGAGGAAGGGATGTATAAAAATATCTGGGGGAAGAGCAAGTGCAAAGGGCCTGGGACCAGAAACATGTGGATCCATCTGAAGAAAAGCAGAGACTGGTGTGGATGGATCTATGTGAATAAAGGAAAGTGCAAACTAGGGTCAGATCATGTAGAACCTTGTAAGTTATGGAAAGACAGGAATTAAACACCTGCTTTCCATTTAGGAGAGAGTTTTCATCTCTTTAGCAAAGGTTAAAAAATACTGAGTTTCAGCAGTGTGATCCCTCCCCTTGATGGGGAAGATAAGAACCCGAACCCTGGCCACAGGGTCCATGAGAGTTTCAAAAACAGGACTTAAACTCCTGAAATAAATTGATATCTTCTGGTCCTTCACAAACACGGAACACTTCATGGACAAAGAAGATACTTGTAACATATAACACAAGGAATTAGCATTCACAAATTATTTTAAAAGCCTGCAAATTAAAGCAACGGCCCAATTAAGCAGTGAATAGAAGATACGCAGAGACGCTTCACCCCAGAGGAAACTTAGGAGGACAGACCTAACCACAATAACGAGGGAATGCAAATTAAAACCACAGATGCCATGTCACGTCCACCCGCAGGGCACATTTTTAAATTTTTCTACCCAGTAGAGCAAGGGGGACTCCGGCAGTCCCCGTAATGGGTAAAACTGGAGCAGTGACGGAGAACACATCTGACTTCTTAAAAACAATTAAAGATGCAATGTATCCTGTGTCCCAGCAAAGGCACAAAAATTCATGTCTCTACGGATTAGAGTAGCGTCTTACTCATTTACCCCGCAAGACGTGGACAGGAATGGTTGTATGCAGCAAAGCCTCCAAGCTGGATTGGGTGATCGTAGAACAGAACAAACACACGCGTGGAAAAACTACTGAAATCTCCACGGAGACCGGAATTGCGTTGGCAGCCGTGTATCGATGTTGATTTCAGGGTTTTGACAGATGTGCTACGATGACGTAAGAGGCTGAAGTCCAAGAAAACTAGGTGAAGCGTATATGGAGGTGTATATCCTTCCAATTCTCCTGTAGATCCAAGATCATTAGCTCCAGGATACTGGATAAATCATGAGCTAGTTACTCAGTGGAATATTATACAGCTGAAAAAATCAGTTTCAGTTGCCATGGTACAGATGTGTTTTCATTTACTTACAAAGTTTCAAAACAGCCAGAAACAATATACAGTTTGGGGACAGGAATATATTGTAGATTTTTTTTTTTTTATTGAGGGCAAGGTACACAAGAAGTTTAGCAAAGTAGAATGGAAGGGAATGAAAAGGAGAAGGGTTTGCAAGGAAACTAGAGGAAATGAAATTTTTTCTTCAATTGGGTGATAAGACCATGGCTGTTCATTTTGTTCCTATTCTCTCTCTATACATGTATCTATTTATACATATATAAATAGATGTGCATGTTAGATTTTTAAGCATCTACTCCATATTATAAACAAAAATTTTAAGAGAAATAAGAGTGTAGCTGGAAAAGCAAGACCATGGGGCTCCGAAACAATTCAGGTACTTCCTTCTCTTCCGTCTCAAACTTTGAAAGCCTTCTAAGTGCTGTTCTCTGGGGAGATACAAAAGAAAGAAGAGGGCAGGGCACCTGGGTGGCTCGGTTGGTTGAGATTCCGTCTTGGGCATAGGTCATGATCTCAACAGTTCGTGGCTTCGAGCCCCGCGTCGGCCTTGCTGCTGTCAGTGTGGAGCCTGCTTTGGATCCTCTGTCCCCGTCTCTCTCTGCCCCTCCCCCACTTGCACTATCTCAAAAAAATAAACATAAAAAAAAAGGAAGATGAGACACTGGCCACAGGAAATGGTGGTCCAGTTAAAGAGGCAGGATTTAGACCCCAGGAACAGGGGCGCCTGGGTGGCTCAGTGAGTTTAAGCGTCCAACTTCAGCTCAGGTCATGATCTCATGATCAGAGCCTGGAGCCTGCTTTGGATTCTGTGTCTCCCTCTCTCTCTGCCCCTCCCTCCCCTGCTAACACTCTTTCCCTCTCTCTTTCTCTCTCTCCCCGTCTCTCTCTAAAAAATAAACATTAAAAAAAATTAAACCCTAGGAACAGTTTTAAAAGCATTTGTCCTTTTCATTATTTGGTAAATATTAAGAAATACTGGGGCTCCTGGGTGGCTCAGTCGATTAAGCATCCGACTTTGGCTCAGGTCATGATCTCCTGGATCTTGGGTTCGAGCCCCGCGTTGGGTTCTGTGCTGACAGCTCAGAGCCTGGAGCCTGTTTTGGATTCTGTGTCTCCCTTTCTCTCTGCCTCTCCCCAGCTCGTGCTCTGTCTCTCTCTCAAAAATAAACGTTAAAAAAAAAAGTAAAAAAGAAATACTGAGGCCATCACTTGTGCTGCACCTGAGCCAGGCAGACAAGCAGATCAGGAGACAGGGCCCTGGCCACTGGGAATCCACCTACATACAGGAAGTAGGACTTAATTGCTAAAATGATTCGAGAACAAGCCATCCCTACTTCCCTTAAGCAACACCGAGTGTCTGCTTTATGCTCAACCCAGTGATAAGCTTTCCTATCAATGGGTGGAGAGACTCAGGAAGGACGGGGTGCTGGACAAGGGAGATGACAGGCCACTTAACCGACTGAGCCACCCAGTGCCCTGGGAATTTGCCTTTTTAAAAATGTTTATTCATTTTTTAAAAAAATGTTTTTATTTATTTCTGAGAGAGAGAGAGAGAGAGAGAGAGAGAGCGTGAGCAGGGGAAGGTCAGAGAGAGGGAGACACAGAATCTGAAACAGGCTCCAGGCTCTGAGCTGTCAGCCCAGAGCCTGATG